CGGCGAGCCCGGGGGTGCCGAGCGGGCGGCCGGGCCGGGCGGCCGGCGCGGGCTCCGGGCGTGCGGCGAGGAGTTCGCGTGCCCCGAGCTGGAGGCGCTGTTCCGCGGCTACACGCTGCGGCTGGAGCAGGCGGCCACCCTGAAGGCGCTGGCTGTGCTGAGCGCGCTGGCGGGCGCGCTGGCGTTGGGCGAGCTGCTGGGGGCGCCGGGGCCCGCGCCCGGCCTGGCCCGAGGGTCGCACCCGGTGCACTGCGCGCTCTTCCTGGCGCTGCTCGCGGTCACCAACGTGCGCTCGCTGCGGGGGCCGCGCCTGCGGCAGGTGGCCCGGCTGGCGCTGCTGCTCAGCCTCACCTTCGCGCTGCTCTGCTGCCCGCTGGCGCTCGGCGGACCCGCGCGGGGCCTGGCTGGGGCGGCCGAGGGCTCCGCGGCCGCGGAGCAGGGCGTTTGGCAGCTGCTGCTGGTCACCTTCGTGTCCTACGCCCTGCTGCCCGTGCGCAGCCTGCTGGCCGTCGGCTTCGGGGTCGTGGTGGCCGCCTCGCACCTGCTGGTCACGGCCACGCTGGTACCCGCCAAGCGCCCGCGTCTCTGGAGGACGGTGAGTGGGGTCCCAGACGGGCCGCGAGGTGGGACAGGGAGGGCCCCGCGTTGGGTGCGCTCCCTCCCACCGAGCGGGTGGGGAAACTGAGCCCCAGACGGGGGGGGGGGAGGGTTGTTCAAGGTCACTCAGCAGCGGGGACACTCTCTGCCCGGGCTTTGCATGGACATACAGTCCAGTTACAAAGCGCCCGCGGGCACGCCGCGTGGACAGTGGCCCAAGGTCAGGTGGCCGGGAGCGGCCAAGCGGGCCCAGCCCCGGGTCCACCGCGCCCTCCAGAGCCCAGCCCCGCAGCGGGACCCTGGACCGGAGGCGGCGGCGGGAGGCTCTGGCTACTGGGTCTTGGCTGTCGGGAGCGCAGCCCCTGCTCCTGGGGGCTCCCTGCGCTGTCCCGGGGCCCCGGTGGGGAGGATGTGAGATGAGAGAGGACTTTGTGGCCCTCCAGTCTCCGTCTGTTCCGTGGGGAATCCCTTCTGACCCCGAAGGAGCGGGTTTGCCAAGGTCACTCTCGGGCTCCACCGCCCCTGCTCCGAGGTCACCCTGACCCCCGCTCTGCAGCGCAGAACTTTGTCACTGTCCTCCCGGCTTGGCGGGGATGTCCTGGCAAGGACAAGGACGCAGGGGTTCTGCCTCCTGTGGCTCCTGCTGGACCCCTGCCAGGCCCACCCTTCACCCCGGATAGGAGGTGGGCAGCGGCTCTGCCCCCGGGGCCTTGGGGAGCTTTTCCTGGCACGCGTCCCACAGGAGCCCCAGGGAGGTTTGGTTCGTGGCTCTGGCTGCAGTCCAGCCGGAGGAGGTGTGAGCCAGCGTGGGTTGACCTCATCTGGGGAACGCGGGTGGCTGTGGGGGGCCGGGAGAGGAGCAGCCCGAGCGGAAGCTGGGCAGACGGAGACTCGGGACTGGGGATGGAACTGGGGAGGGGCGGGGTGGCACCAGACAGCCCCGGCTCCCCGGGGATGGGCGGGACAGGGCTTGGCCTCAGCCCCTGATGCTTGGTGAGAGGGGCCAGGGGGTGTGCAGCCTGGTAAGGGGTCAGGTGTGTGCTGGGCTTGCTTTTCAGGGCCGGAGAGACTGGCACATGCTCAGACCCTCGGGCAGGTGGGGCGCCGGAGGGGGGAAGGGGAGAGGGCGTGGAGCGGAGCTGGCAACGATGGGTTGGGAGGCTCGGGGAGAGGGAGGAGGAGCCCAGGTGGGAGCCAGAGATGGAGAAGAGGTAGAGAGAGCGGCCAGGGGGAGTCCAGCCAGGAGGGGCACGGGGGCGGGCTTCTCCACAGCCCCTCTGCACTTCCTGTGGGCAGCACAGTCGTGCCCAGCATCCTCCTGGGCATTCCCAGCCTCCGCGGCCCCCATCTGCCTGCCTTTAGCTTGGCTCTCATGCTGGCAGCCAGACCCTTGTGGGCATGGTGAACTCCCCACTGCGGCCAGATCGGCAGATGCCGGGGCAGCTCGGGCGTAGGAAGGCCAGGGATCTGGGCCCTACAGTCCCTGTGCACACCAGGGAGTCTGCAGGGCCATCCAAGCCTGGATTATTGTCTTCTTTTTAAAGAATTTTCCTATACAGCTCTGAGGCATTCTTAGTAGAGAAAGATTAAAAAATCAGGAATCTGCCAAGGTCCCCCCACCCCGAGTAAGAAAAGCTCCTGTTACTCAAGGGAGAAGGAAGCCCAGCCCAGAGACTAGGCTGCCTAGGGACAGCTGTCTGAGTTTCCCTGCCCTTAGCTCCCTGGGCGATGCAAACCCTTCCCTCACGAGCCTCAGTCTCCCCACCTGTATGAAAAGATAAGCGCACCCCACAGGGCTGTACTGAAGGTGGCAGTTTCCTGCTGGAAATCTTGTCACTTCTGAACCCTTCTGTTCTCCTTAGAATGTTCAAGTTCAGGTTGATGCGGGTGTTAGTGACATTGACAAATAGATGAGATCCCAGGTGGAGCGACCTGTAGTGGTGGGCGGGGCTGGATGCTGCCCTGGGGTCCTGTCTTCCAGCTGCACAATTCCAGGTGCTGGGAACCTATCCTTAAGGAGCTCCGGGGGAGGGGGAGGAAGGCGGCATACGCAGCAGGCAGCGTTGGCGTCCCCGCTGCTCCTCTTGCCTTACCGCCACCTCCTGTCCATCACACCCGTCACCTCTGGGGCTTAGCACCTGCTGACTCTTGCTGCCTCCCCAGTACTGAATTCTAGGCAGGCAGTAGCCGTGCACGCGTCGGGTGGGGGGGATGCCCCAAAGGGACAGGGCTACCTGCAGGGGGACAGAGCCGGACATTTCTTCAGGGTCTCCGCCCCCGTGGGGCCCTCCTGGTGCGGAGCCCCAAGAAAACACCGGGCCCTCTGCTGCAGAGTCAGGTGAACTTGCCCCTGAGCAGGTCTGCGGAGAGCCCAAACTTTGGGCTGGGGCCTGGGTTCAAGTCTGCTCTGTGCTGGGGTGCATATCTGTTTTCGGGGCCACTGACCATCTATGAGGAGGTGCCCAGGGTCCCTGCAGCTCTCCTGTTCTGCGTGTGGCACATGAGGCTCAGGGGGCACAGCCCTGTGCTTTGGGGGCACCTCGTACCTCTTCTGTAGTACCCAGGTCAGCTGCACACACAGTTGGCGTCGGTAGCCGGCGCTCACTCTTCCCCCGAGCGGGTGCTTGGGTCTGGTGCCCTCTGTCCACATCAGGGGTCTCTGGGGCATGTGGCCTGGTGCCACCCCATGGCCAGCACTCAGGAACTGCCTGTAAATGGTGTGCTCAGCATCCGGCTCACAGGGTTCCTTCCCTCTCCCAGTCCCCTGCTTCCCCGCTACTCTTGGACCCGAACAAAGTAAAGCAACACTTTTCTACAGTGCTGCCGAGCCACTCCTGCTCGGGTGTGGCTGTGGTCTGCTCATTAGGGGACAGCTGGGGTGGCCAGGGTGGCCACAGAGCGTGGGTGGGCTGGAAGCAGCATGTTGGGTGCTATGGGGCATTCAGGGTGGAGTGGGGAGGAGGGGAGAAGTGGAGATGCCTCAGGTCTGGGCTGGCCCTTGGGGATCCGCTTGCTGTAGGGATGCGTGGTGCCTCCAAGGAGGCCTATGCTGCTGACATGCTCTGGGCTGCTATTATTTTTTAAATTTTGGCAGTAACTGAGGTCCATCGTCTCCTCCACTATGTGTGCTTCATTCCATTGCTTCTGCATGTGAAAGAAATGTGTTTCAGTTTCTGTTCTTAACCCCAGGCAGATCACAGACATCTCTGTGATCACAGGTGTCTGCCGCCAGAGCTGTCACCGGGATCTTTCTGGTGTTCCGGGTGTTGGGCTGTCCCTTTCCTGCCTCCCCTCTGAGGTCTGCAGGTCAGGGCTGGACTCCTGGGGAGAACAGGTTCCTGCTGCTGTGGAGGAAGTGGTCGAGATGCGAGCTCAGGTGGGAGCTGGGGGCTTGCAAGTGGGTGGGCCTCCCGGCTTCTGGTCAGTGGGATGATCGGCCGTTCAGTCTGTGGTTTCCGAGGACAGGTGTGTTCTCCAGGCTCCGTGTGTGGATTCTGTCTGGCAGGGCTCCCCGACCAGCCCGCACTGTGGCCTCAGTGCTGGGGCCTCGCTCTTACAGTCGGCTGTTTGTAGCTGGTGGGCTGCTGAGCCCTGGGAGTGAGGTGCCTGCCTAGATCCCATGGCGGAGGAGAGCCAGGATGCAGGGCAGGCCCCGGCTGTTCACCAGCTGTGGCAGGAGCTGAGCTGCTCTCCACTCAAGGCTGAGGGCAGTGAGGCGGAGGCCTAACCTGTGTGCATCTCAGGACTCTAGTCATGGCCACCCCTCCTGTGTTCACGCTCATGTACACAAACGCGCGGGGTTGCCATAAACTCAGGCAGCCACACACCCACAAGACGCTCCTCCCACACACTGTCACAGTTATTCTCATACTACATACGTGCACACACATGTGCACATGCTCACAAATACAACAATGCTCACACCTTCATAACTCAGTACATACCCACCAACATGCCTATAGACATTCTCACACTCATACATACACACTCACACACAGAGACTTGCACATACACCCACTTAGCCATGTGTACACATAAGCACTCAAGGGAACACACAGGTGCACAGATACACTCATTGACACGCATGCACACCCCTGTGCCCACTCACCCATGACACCTTTACTGGTCAGCACCGTGTCCTCCTCTGTGTGGGAACTGCAGCCCTGGGGAGGGCTCGTCCCTGGCAGAGGCCCGGCTGTGGCCCTCCTCCCATACCTGCTCCATGACCTTGGGTGACATGGGGGTCTGGACTGTGGATTGAGGAGGCCAAGCTCAGGCTTGGTGTGGCCGAGCACCCTGGAGCCCGGGGTTGAGCCTGGACGCTGGGCTCCTTTTCTCCACAGCCTGGTTCATCTGTTGGCTGTCACGTCACAGGTCACCTGTGGCGCATGCCTACTGCTCTGTCCCTGGCTTCCTGCAAGCTCTGGTCCGTCTAGAGCTGTGGCATTTTTGATCACACATGGCCTGTGGGGGCCTGATGAATCCCGTCCGTACCCATGTGTGGGGGTGTGGGGTGTGCAGCTTGGGCAAGCAGGATGGCAGGGCCATGCCTGGGCAGGGACCCCTGTCACTTCCTACGGTCCAGCCCTCACCGTGGGCCTCAGCGTGGCCTAGCGCTAGTCCTGGTGGCCTGCTTCACCTCTTGACTGCTCATGACCCTTCAAGTACCTATTGCAGGCAGCAGACCCTGTGCTGGCTCCCAGCCCGTGCAATCTGTGATCTTTGGAGGGCGCCCCCAACCCACTCCACAGTGGAGAATGGGGTTGGAGCTCTTGGCCTGTGCTCGGCACCCAGTCCTCCATGAGAAGCATCAGAGTGAGATGCTCACCATCCACTGCCCATGCTCCCGGAGGGCTGCTCCATGGCACCGTATCCCACCCTCGGAAGCCGCACAGGCACAGGTATGCCCTTGAGCCAGCTGCTGGGTGGGCGGTGGGCGTGCAGGAGACACCGGGCCTGATGGGTGTGTGCAGGGATGGGGAGGCTGCTCCAGGGCAC